TTTTTTTTTTTTTTGTTTCATATGATAAATTTTGAAAAAATGTAGTATGATTAATTGGTAGGGTATGCACAAACCTTATACACTCTCGTTCATTCAATAAAAAATTAACAATCTTCTCATCAACATCATATTTCTACTATGTACATCTCTCTCCATTTACACACGCCCACGTTCTTAAATGAAACCTATTATCCACTCATTCAATATAAATTTGAATATTCTACTCTCGATAAAAATTAAAGTTTAATATTTTTAAATATAATAATAAATTTTAAATGCATGAACATAAAAGAACACTACAAGACCAAAATAAATTAAACTAAAATTAAAAAAGAAAAAAACAGTAGAATTACAAAAATAACTTTTATAGTTGGTGGCAAAAAATTAGTCAAAATATGCTCAACTAAGTCGGCACGAAGTTGATGACGCATTGTGTTATCTCGTATCTCTGAACTTATACGAATATATTGTGAATATTGAATATTGGTGGAACTATTATAATATTTCCGTTCAAAGCGGGCTCGTTACCCTAAGAATCTAGAGAAGATAGGCGTGCAAAGCCGACATGTGTGTCCCATCGTTCATCATCAGGCTGAGTGGGACTATTATGATATTTCCGTCTTCAGTGCACATTGAGGTCGGATTGTCAGTGTTTAATTTTTCGTTTTTATTTCCAAATCGGCCTATGTCTCGGAGTGAACGACTTGGGTCCTTGAAGGTATCCGACCTGAGGTCTTGTCTTCTGTACTCAGCGACAATTTCCTTTATCACTATCGCGCTTGTGGGATTAAACTCTGAACTCGCGCTTTCCAACTCAAATGTCAACATATAGGCCTCCGAGTTTGGATGGATGTGCAGGGGCATTTTTTTCTGAGGTCGTCATTAGAATAGGTCCGAGTTGGTCAAAGGGTGGTTATTGGGCGTGTATCCAATCGGCGTGTGCTTCGAGATTTAATGACGACATCTGAAATGTGTCGTCATAATAAGGCGTGTCCCGATCCTTCTCTCCATCAACAGATGTGCCGTTTAAACCTTTAGTGTGTTGCGCTTCATCTGACCATCAATCCATTTTCGGATTTTTGAATTAGAAGGGTTTATGTTTTTTTTTTCAAATGTTGAATCAAGTTGGCTATCCGATGGGCCCACCCTCTTTAAGAGGTTGCTCTTCACAACTGGCGTTATGTCCTATAAATTGGAAATTTTGATTCTTTAAAAGGTTTTTACCTTTGCAAAAAAATCTCAAGCTTCTTGTCTTCCTAAGAGAATCGCTCATCCGTCATTACTGTGCAGATTAAGCTTATGCATTTTCTTAATTTTTTCGGTAATTTATCTTAGTCCTTTCACTTTTCTTTTGACCTTAAAGTATGTCGACTTTGTCGCATTGCGTAGTGGACTTCGAACCTTTCGGTGACGATGAAGATGGCGGCGGTGGCAGCTCTCCGTCACCGCCTTTGATCACTGCGTCTTCACACAGACGACCCTCCCCAACCACGAGCTGCTTCTTCTGGTGGGCCAAAACTCTCCAAATCCGGCACTGCACGTGGTCAAGGTGGACGATCGATTTCGACCGAAGGGATTGGCTGCTTGGTGGTCCTCGAAGCCCTAGTCCCCAATGTTTGACTGGCCATGTCGACGTTGAAGGTGGCAGATCTGAACCGATTGCTAGTCGCGGAGGTGGTCGACATGAGAGTGGAGGCGGCGATTGTCGGTTGCTAGATGATTGCGGCGGCGGCCGGTGGTGGGGTAGGCGATGGTCAACGGCGCGACGGGTATTTCAGTCGTGTGTGTATACAGTGTGTGTGTGTATGTGTGCACGCGCGCTTGAGAGAGGGAGAGAGTGTGAAGGGGATATGGGCCTTGGGACCCAAGTGACAGGTGTAAAATATAATATATATACCCTTAATGAATGTAATTTTTTGGTTTCTGACCATTGGATGATAAGATTTTGTGGCTAACATCTATTCTTATTTATTTCATTAAGCACAATTCTCATCTGAACGTGACGATATATATATATGTATATATATACATATGTATGTATGTTGTACAATATCCAGATAAGTTGTCCATTTATTCCAATACTAGCACTATTGAAAGAACATAAAAATTTGCGGAACTGTTATTTACTAAATCGGTTACAAACTACAATACACATAAATTTTAAAGTAATGTTATAAGTACATAATATTGTACATAGAGATGTACATAACACTCACATTGAGTGGGACCCATAAAAATAAAAAATCAAATAGGGTCTACTTCATGTGAGTGTTATGTACACTTCTATTTACATTTACTACGTACTTGTTGCATTTTCCTAAAACTTTATGTCACCCTCCAACAGCAAAATAGTGATCACAGATATGCTTGCCAACCAAAATACATTAAAGCACATAATCTTGAATTCAAAGCAGAATACGTGATTGATATATGTCCAAACCAAAATATGAGGATAAATTACATAGTCATACATACCAATAACACACAACAACACCATTTTGTTATTTTTTCAATGTCACAAAACCCCTTTGAAGACACTGATATCTGTCTAATTACTGCTTCAAATCCCAAGCCAAAGAGATTATAAAATTGTGGCAGAATATTATTGTGTCATAGAAAATTCTATCCGAGCAAGGCGAATGTGGTGAGGTCTGAGGAGCTTCCGCCACTCTGCATTGCATTAAGAGGGAGTCCCAGAGAAAATATACGAGGTCCTTCATTAGAAAATCCAAGGACTGAATTGTAATCGGCTTCGTTTTCAACTAATCCGTAGTGTGGGTCCTCTTGTATTGCATCCTGCACGACCGGGTATTATGAATCGTAAGTTAACAGTTTGTCTTATTTCACATGTATGTATGTATGTATGTATGTATAAAATAAGCATAATTAACACGATACATGATGCCATCACTTGCAAAGTCGGAGTGAATTAACACCGAGTAGAAGATGACATGAAAATAGAAACTGAAACATAAAATCTGAATTACCATCATATATAACATATGCAAATGCTTTACGAGTATGTAATGAAAATATAGAACTTAACAAGAACTCAAAAGGGTTTATTGGGAAGAGAGTTTCTTACACATTCAAGCACAAGATTTCTGTGTATCTCTTCAACATTCCTCACCTGCAAATAATAGAGAAGGAAAAAA